TGTTACCTCAAAGTTACAATATGTATTCGTTATGATAAAATTGCCGAAACTGCTGAATTCACTGTTATTCTGTATTTATAGATCGATATTTGCTAATTTTACGTTACATCAATTCTTTTACAGTCAAGAAAAATATTCGGCCCATAGAGGGTTAATTTATTATCCTAGAAACTACGTTTAACGTTACAAAATATCTCGGAGGAGAATCATTCGAGCCGTGGAATAATTTCTCACGAGATCCCGAGGAATTTAGGCGTCGAATGGGGCAGCAATCGGACAAGGAGAGCGAGAGACGATCGATCCTCGTTAACGGGCGTCGCACGAGCGGAAATAATTCATCGGATGAATTATTTCGCCCGGTCCCGGTTCGCGGCTTAAAATACGTTTTGACGCGTCTTGCGTCTCAGCGCCGCGACGCCGGATGAAATTTCCACCCCTCCCTTTAGTACCTGCTAACATACGAGGCTCTTCTTCGTTACCAAATTCTGATTCTATTTCCTGGCTGAGCCTTTCGACGAATTCTCTTTTGCTCACGTGCAATCGAACACAAATCTCGCCTAATTTTTTTGGTATTTTGGAAATTTTTTGGTTCTCAATTTTTTAGGTCATGTAGAATCACCCCCTTTTCGCTTGTACCACCAGTTACCAAACACCCTGTATATATACTGTTAGATTTTTATTTATAAATAATAGTGACGCTTTTACATAAACACAGAAAACCTTAATATTGTTCGAGTTACAACGCCGATACTGCTGCCTTTCTACACACGTTTCTTTTCTTCTACCGTGGAGAGCCGGAAAAGGGGCGATCGGACACGAACGCCCACCCCGGAAATCGGCAGATCCCCATCGGCGCGCTCAGCTCCTATCGATCGCGATTATACATAAAGGCTTATTTCCAACATATACTGAAATACTTGTCGAGCAGCTGTTTTAAATTGAAGACACTTACGACTTGGATGGTGCTTTACTTCTTCTGAATCGAGGATCTCCGTCTCTTCGCAGAGTGTTCGAATTAGATAGGAAAAAATGAGAAAGTTCTTGCGATGCTACTTATTAATCAGCTGCGAGTTTTCCACGGTGTCTAGCCACACGTTAACGATTTCCATTGGTTGGATCGTTGCGTTTCATAAAGGAGCAAGCAACCCTCGTGTATCTCGTGGTTACGCACGCGATCCCCCTCCTTATCTTCGCCCATTACCTCCAACACGCCGGGGAAACGTTTTCACGGCTGTCTGCGTGCCGTGGAAAAACGCTGCTCTTTGCATTTCTCCGTGTTTCCCCGCTGCATCGCGTTGCTGATTCGCCACTGCTGAGGATCGCGGAAACCGGACGATTCTTCATCCGGAAATTGGCCTGCACGATGGAATTAACTTTTGCCGAAATAAGGGTTTGCTTTCGTCGGGAATGGGCGGAATTTCAGATTGACGAGTGTTTTCGTGGTCGTGCAAAACAGTTTCTGTGAAATTTGCAGTGTTTCTTTTTAATGGAAGAGCTGATAAATTTTGTCTCCTTTGAGGATTATGATTTCGGTACTAAAAATTGGGCGAGAAGACTCTTGAAGCGGAGAAATATTTCGGTATTTATGGAAATCAATTTTTGTAAGATTTGCATTGTTTTTCTCTTAATGTGTTAGGATGTGCTCGTGGTAGTTGCAACCAACTTTCGAGCTTTGTCGAATTTAGGACGTGGTGTGCCCCGAGTAAATCTAATAGGTTCGCCTTCGAAGGACCACCTCCGTGATTAGGAGGACAAAACAACTACAGTAAATTCTCCACAAGTGTCAGTCCGCAAGGAAGCTAAACCTGACACTTGTAGAGTCAGGGACTACGTTTTCGAGCCTCGCGCCCGCCTTTGTAGTTTGCCGAACGTAGACAAGGACAGCGAATAAAAGATAAGGATGAAACGTGAGTCGAGGCAACCAAGCGATTTAAATATCAACTTTTTTAATTTTACTGATGAAAATGACATAAAACACGACATAATTTGAACATTTACTTATTAACACGTTCATTGTCTGGCGTGACAGTGGCGTGGCGTGTTTAGAAAAACATCTCTCGATTCTTCGCGGGCCAAGAGTCGCCAGGCCTAAGTGCGTGGCCCCCCGTGGCGGTCGCCACAATATAAACTTTCGAATCCTTAACTACAGATACTAAAAATTTTGCAAAGTGGATCTCTGCAGGTCTCGAAATGCCACTCTTAAAAGGTCGTTGACACTAAAAATCGTGGACCATACCTGATAGCAATTTCTAAGATTCCGGGAAACCAAATTTTGAGTTGTTAAGAACAAAGCTCGGTACAGAATAGTAATGGAAAACACTGAAACGGTATGAAAGGCTCTCAATATTTAAAGTGGAGCCTCGTGGCTGGAAGATCCTGCAGGAGCGTCACAGTTATCGATCCGGGACGACTATATTTAAATGCTGAAATCGAACCTCCATTTTCGACTACTGAACGGAATAATTTGCTACCTGTCTGTGACTAGGGTGAACAGTCTTTTATTAGAAGTAGCACGAAACATTTCTGGAGCTTCGTGAAAACAATCGATTATAGAGATGACTAATTAAAATTGATAAAATTGAAACGTGCAAAATTAAACTTTGCGTTGTACAATTTGAAACAGAGCTCTGTGTATATTAAAAATAATTCTTGGAAAAATTGCCTGAAGAGCGTACTTTAAAATTGAAAAATTTCCAATAAATTTTATCGGTGCATTTTTCGAAAATTATTAAGTAACGAGGGTAGAAACAAATTTTTCAAAAAATCAAAAAAATCCTGGCGATATAAAGAGAGCCTTGCAGAAAATTTGGAAAATTGCTGTGTTCGAAGATTACAAAAGCGAAAATTTAGAAAATTGTTGTGTTGGAAGATTACAAAAGAGAAAAGCAAAAATTTCGACCCAAAAATACAAATAAAAATTCCTATCGACACAAAAATTTCCTTGGGGATAACGAAAAAGATTGCCCGCGATTAAAGCAAACCTGCAGAACCAAATAAAAAAAAAAGAAAAGGAACAGTATATCCCCTCTTAAGATAAATTCAAAAGAAGCTGCTGTTTAAAAGGAGTGGCAAAAAATTCTCGTTACCATGCAAACCACTTATTTAGCTAAAATACAGAAAGCCTCTTATCCTCTGTGCAAAGAAGCAATCTCCATTTCCAAATCACCGCTCTCCTCCCTGTGCCATTAGAAATAAAGAGAAAAAAATCGAATGCGTAAGAAAAGCTCCCTCTGTCTGAAAAACCACCGGATTCTTCCGTTCGCAGGATTCTTTTATTGCGGAAGGTACGAGAGAGAGAGAGACAGGGAGAGAAACATCGTGTGTAACACTGTGTTGTAACGAGTGGAATGAGCGAGATGATTGGGTGATAAATCAAGAGGAACTCGAACCGTTTTCCGTAGAACGATTTTTAATCCTGCGGATTTCGAATTAAATATTTCAGCGGGCCGATGACGCGGTCGCTCGCTTCCCAGGCCGTTTAATCTCAGGCTGGCCGTAGTGTCAAATCGATGTGGAATGTAGGTCGAATTCGGCTTACCGGAATTGATTTCTCCGGTTTCTGAATTATTGTTGTAGTGCACGTGCACTGGACCGTGTGTGTCAGTTCGTGTGGGTGTGTGTTCGGTGTCTCTCTTTGTTTCAGCCACTTGTTAAGTTCCGTTAAATATGTCCGAATACGTCGTTAACCCTTTCATGGGACACGTGTGTTCCGTTTGAGTGCTCGAACGAAAATTGATCGCAATTCTTGGCTTTGTAGCGTAATCGTTTTTCGCCTAATTATACGACGCGCCCCGAACCACGCACGACGCGACCCCCCGTAGCCTAAAATTTCACAAAAATATATTACACAATATGGACCAAAATTTTGCAAAAATTCAACGCACAATATACACCAGTCTTACAAAAATATATTACACAATATGGACCAAAATTTTATAAAAATTCAACGCACAATATACACCAAAGTCTCACAAAAATATATTACACAATATGGACCAAAATATTGCAAGAACTCGACCGCAGAATATACACCGAATTGTCACAAAAATATATTACACAATATGGACCAAAAAATTGCACAAAAATATTACACAGTCGAGACTAAAATCTCACAAAAATCTATTACACAATAGAGACAAAAATATTGCAAAAATTCATTGCACAATATACACCAAAATTTCACACAAATATACTACATAATGTGGACCAAAATTTCACAAAAATATATTACACAATGTGGACCAACAGTTTTCCAAATTTCAACTCACAGTGTACACCAAAGTCTCACAGAAATATATTACACAATATGGACCAAAATATTGCAAGAACTCACTGCAGAATATACACCAAAATGTCACAAAAATATATTACAGAATATGGACCAAAAAATTGCACAAAAATATTATACAATAGAGACCAAATATTACAGAAATGTATTGTACAATAGAGACCAAAATCTCACAAAAATATATTACACTATATGAACCGAAATATTACAAAAAATTATTACACAGTCAAGACCATAATCTCACAAAAATCTATTACTCAATAGAGACCAAAATATTGCAAAAATTCATTGCACAATATACACCAAAATTTCACACAAATATACTACATAATGTGAACCAAAATTTCACAAAAATATATTGCGCAATGTGGACCAACATTTTTCCAAATTTCAACTCACAATGTACACCAAAGTCTCACAGAAATATATTACACAATATGCACCAAAATTTTGCAAAAATTCAACGCACAATATACACCAAAGTCTCACAAAAATATGTTACACAATATGGACCAAAAAATTACAAAAATCTATTACACAATAGAGACCAAAATATCACAAAAATCCACATGGTACAGAGCAAAAGATCACAAACCAATACATTACGAACCAAATTATCAGAGAAATATTTTTTTCCACAGACGTAAACTCCTGAGACTTGCCATTATTCCAACTCCATTAACACTTCCATCTATCTTCTCTCTGTTCTCAGCCTGCATTCTCGAACTCGTGGTTGGTCAGCAAGGGCCGGTGTTCGTTCTCGAGCCACCAAGTACTCTGGTCTTTTCCAATACCACAGGCTCCCAGCTAAGCTGCTCCGCTCATGGGAGTCCAACGCCGCACGTCACCTGGATAACCAGTCCGGATCAGAGATCGGTCACCGCAGTTCCTGGACTAAGGTGAGCCAATTAATGCAAGTAGAAACTACCTTTAATTCCATTCGCTCTGCGTAAAAACACGCGGAATTAAACGGAACAGATGAGACGAAGCGGAAAAAAAAATTCCATACTCCAGTCGAAATTCTGTATTTTTTTTTTTTCTTTTTTGTAATACTTGTTCGATGATAATCTTCGTCGAGATAATTAATCATTAGACGAAATGCGAAAGGCGGTACAATATCGCAAGGCAGTATAAATTCGTCAAGTTTACAGCTACTTAAACGTAAATCACGTAACAATCGTCTTACAACTACCTAAAGCCGCATTAATCATGTCAGAGAGCGGATGTTCCTTAGAGACTGAAAGTAATTTAATTATAAATTAAGTCCGACTTTCGGTAGTAGTCAAAAATGTAATGAAGTTTGATCGTTTTTGGGTTGATAAAACAGGAAATTACGAATGTGAAGTATTGTGAAGTTTGGAAATTTAAAAAATGAAAAGTATGCCATAGTTTGCGTTAATAAATCGCGAAATTACAAATTTGAGAAATGAATGTTTACAAATACCGAATCACGTGAAATCAAAAACTTTCGAGAATTGGCCCACGTTAATAAATCACGAAATCACAAATTTCGAAAATATAAAAATATAGAACAGACAGTGAAATGGAATATTTGCAAATACAAAATCACGTGAAATCTCAAACTTTCGCGAATTGGCCCACGTTGGTGAATCGCAAAATTACAAATTTCAGAAATAAAAAGTGTGCAATAAGAGAAATAAAATATTTGCAAATACAAAATCACGTGAAATCTCAAACTTTCGCGAATTGGCCCACGTTGGTGAATCGCAAAATTACAAATTTCAGAAATAAGAAATATGCAATAAGAGAAATGAAATATTTGCAAATGCAGATCTCGAACTTTCGAAAAAATAGTCCACGTTGGTAAATCGCAAAATTACAAATTTCAGAAATAAAAAAAAAAAGCAGCAGGTTTAAATAAAATATTCACAAATACAAAATGACGTCGGATAATAAGCTCCCGAAGAATAGTTCCATACAGGTGAAAGAATCAGTGAAAAATAAATTCTGAAGTCTCGGGTCGATCGTTCATCTTATCGCGAGAGAATCCACAAAGGATATTTCACCGTGTCTGGTGTACTTCTATGGAAACGCGTGCACAGTAGTAGAGTACATACTACTCTACTTTCGTACCGGCGGGTTTTCCCCGGCGCGACGCGGCTTCCGGTAATTCCGTTTCAGCTATCGCGCGCCGCTTGTAAGATCCGCGTTTTCAGCTGAAAATTCGCGATTCGTAAGAGTGCGCGACGCGATAGAAAGGGCTAAGCGGATTAACGTGTCGGGATTTAGAAGTTCCGAGCCGCTGTAAATTGCCGGAGTTTCGAACGGCCGGTTTTCCAGCCCCCCAGACTTCCGGTGGCCATTGGCGAAATATGTGTACGCCGCTGAGGAACTTGATATTGCTCGTCTGAACCGTTAATATGTCGAAGAATAGCGATCAAAGGGATCTTCTTTTGCTTGTGTTTCACGTAATAGCGTCTTGTACGCGTTGTACGGGATTGTTTCGTTATTTTTCTCCGTGGTAACTTCGGGAAACTTCATTTATCAGAAGGTTTAAAGTAATTTTAATTTACGAAAAGAGACGGTAACAGATTATTTGCAAATTATTTTTTAAAAAGGACTAATATTTTATATTTTGCGATGGAATGAACGATAGAATTTCAAAGAATAATTTTTATTTAACACGTTAAGCGCCATGTCAGTCACCGGTGACTGACAGTATACTTTTCGTTCGGGCCGCGTCAGTCACTGTTGACTGACGATATACAATTTAAAAAATTATATTCTATTAATAAATTTTAAATAATTTAGAGATCATAGAAGAACGTACCTGAATATTACCTGTTACCAAAAAATAATTTTAACGAGTATTATTAAAACACATGCAGTCTTATCGCAACCTTGCACAGATCTCTGGCCGCCAGCATATCGGTGGAATCGTATATCGCGAGCTAAACGGAAAGGAAGACAAAACATGCTTGGCGCTTAACGTGTTAATAAAAGGAGCTAAAGTTTAAAATTTTGGGATGGAATATAAATGATAGAATTTTTTAGCAGGTGATTTTGAATATATTATTTATTATTTTGCATATTTTTATATTGAAGGAAGAAACGAATGAAAGTTATTTAATTGAAGATGGTGATTATTGCAATTAATTTAGATTTTGATCTATGAGAAAATCGTAGAATAGTATGATTCTATGAATCTTGTCAGACGAAACAGACGGTGTGTTCAATTTATCCAATCCAGCATTGTTCTATTACCCTTATCTGATCCCATGCTGTGCTATTCTACTTGTGCAATTAGGCACAGCAATTGCCCAATTAGATATACACCGATGACCCAAAAACTGTCTATCCATCACCCTCTGGCATTGAATTAATCATTAATTAAGCAGATAGATTCTTTAATTCGGTTGTGTATGAACTGTCTGATTAATCGTAGACCTGTTCTACTTGAAATATCGTTCCTGCGATTGTTAGACACTTGTATCAAAGTTTGCCTGGTAAAATCTGATTTTCTTTTGCTGGAAAACGTAATTACAGAGATAACTACGTAATAATTGTTCATTTTTTAATTAAATTTGATAAACAAACTTTGCATAAGTCGACCACAGAGACAAGGGAAAATATTGAAGTATAGAGAGTGTTCGAAAAAAAAGTGTTAACATTTACACAGAGAATTTTCCTTTTTCTACAAAAGAACAGAAGGTTCCAAGGTTATGTTAATAATGATAATGAACAAGTGGAGATACTTTGAAAGCAAAATACATCGTGTTGCAAGTTCTGCTTCTCTGAAAAGAAATTGCTTCCACAAATCATCTTGTTCAAAAATATCCTTTCACGTGAAATAAAGGAAAAATTGCTTTCGTTCTTGCTAAAAGAGGAAGAACGAAGGGAGGAGAAATTTTGACGTAAATGTAAAACGAGAATTTCCAAGTGGTGCATTCATGAAACACTCGTCGAATTCGAAGTGACTGTCGCGGCAATATCCGAAGGGAAAATTCCTCGTTGAATTTATCTGGGGGATAGAAGCGTAGAGATCGCGTAAGATCCGTATTATTGGAAGCTTGATGCCGCACGCCCGGCAATATCGTAACCGTGGCACCTGGGGAAACCATTTCCTCCCGGTAATTGAAATGTTCCTTATCCAATGGTCGTCTAGTAAGTTTGTCCGCAGCCAGACGTCCCACGGGAAAGCGTAACACCCTCGTTCGGGCCTTCCTCGATACGCTCGTGTCACGCGTTAATGATCGGGTCATTTTCTAGACAGAAGAATTGAAAAAACAGGAAAAACTAGGAGAAATATTCAGTTGTAAATCAATTAACACGTCGACTGGCATAGAAAATTTTCTGATCGTTCCAACTGCGCTGTTATATTGCTCACACGTGACTGACACTTCTGAAAATAGCAAATGAAATTTCCCATTTTAGTGGAATAATTGATTTCGAGTTGTTAAATTTTGGCGATTGAATTTTCATTGACCGATATTCTGTATTAAGTTATTTCTCCTTTTTGGGCGATATTTGTTCTTACGTAGTGTTTGTGAAAGAGTCATTTTGTGAAAGTTTGGAAAAATAATGTATTGGGGAGTATAGTAACATTGAGATTTTTAAGAGTTTTGAGAAGGTAATTGTGTTGTTTAAAAGAGCATTGTGAATTTGTCTGTGTATATATGGAGAAATTAGTTAGAATTGGTGGAAAACTATAGTACTATCTTCGTACTTGATGTAATTTCATGGTTTTCTGTTCTCATTACGTGATTAGAATGTACTTAAATATAGTATTAGAAGATTGTACTTGTGGGGCTCGTTGGCAGGGACGTTTGGTCGAGGTAGAGTCGATATCAAAGTGAAGATACATTCGTTCGCGACATTAGATGGGATGGGTGACCGTTTTTCTCTGGTTTGATGTATTAATTCGGGGCTTGAATTTCTCTGTGTCTATTCTGTTCTTTCCAAATTCTGAGGTCTCTCTCCAGCTGTTCTTTCCAAATTCAAAGGTCTCTCTCTGTCTTTCCAAATTCAAAGGTCTCTCTCTACTACTATTCTTCCAAATTTCTCAACGGTGGTGTCTTACTCTTTCCAAAATTCGGGGCTTGAATTTCTCTGTGTCTATTCTGTTCTTTCCAAATTCTGAGGTCTCTCTCCAACTGTTCTTTCCAAATTCAAAGGTCTCTCTCTGTCTTTCCAAATTCAAAGGTCTCTCTCTCTACTATTCTTCCAAATTTCTCAACGGTGGTGTCTTACTCTTTCCAAAACTTCAAACGTTCTCTGCGTTCCTCTGATACTCTTCTTCAGTTAATTCACTTACTTTCTTTCAGCAGTGTTAGAATTAAGGAAAACTATGTATATGTATGTATTGAAAAAAAAAAAATTTGAAAACAGTGTATAAGTGTATATTCTTAATACTTAATACTTAAAACAGAAAAATGCTTGAAAATTATAATGGTCCTATAGCTATACTCCGCTAATATTTTTTTTTAAATAATACAACCATGAAAAGAAGTTTCCACGTTTACTGAAATAACTTTTAACAAAAGACGTTGCAAAATGGAGAGATTAGAAGTACGCGACCTCATCAACCCCTAAGATTTTCAAAAAGCATTACTTCCACCTCTCGTTCCCCTTCCACAAGCTCCAGACGCATCGATCAGAGTCGAACATCGAAACAGAAGAGAACTCAGTAGCAGTTCGAAGCCGCAAAGAAGTTGGAAGAATTCAAAGGGAAAGCAACCCCTTTCCGTTCGTGTTCATCCCCGAAACGTTTCTCTTTGCTGTGTACTCTTCGCTTTTCACTCATTCAGACGTCGAATCTTCTCTCTTCATTCCTATCCGTCGAAATTCACCCGTTTCCATCCGCGCTTCGATACACGATGATCGATTAAAGACGCAATGGGGAAGTCTGCGTGTTTCGCTGTTCAAGGAGAAATGAGGA